ATTTACAAACGTTATGCTTTATTCTAAAACACTTGATTAAAAAGAAAATAGAATTTGATTATAGATGGAAATTTAAAGATTATTGTGAAATTTGTATTTATTAATTTAACTAACAAATTTTGCAAGCAAAAATTATAGAAGTTCATATAGTAATTTTTAATATTTGTTTTAATGTTTTTTACTAGAATCAAAAGATATTGATTTATATATAATCAAATGCAAATATATTATATTATATTAAAAATATTGAAGCTATTACAAATTTATATATAAAAATAAATCAATAAAATAATTAAATTTTTGTTACTTATGTGTAATTATATAATGCATAAATGTTAAATAAGATTTAGTATTTCGTAAAGTTATTTTAATACATTTTTTAATGAACATATGTTTCTAGTATTTTACAAGATGTTGAAATGTAATTCCTATAATTATTAGTTACATTCGTACTAATTTGAAAATTATAATTATGTAATTATTACTTCTAAGTATAATTTATCATTCTTTAATTATATATATAAATATTTAAATATATATTTAAATATATATATATATTTAGATAATAAATTAAATTTTTCTTTAAATATAAATCAAATTAATTAATTAAATTACTAATAAGAATAATACTCATTGAATTGGTTAAATTATATATGTCATTCAATGTTTTTGTAAATTTTGCAAAATAAGTTATAGAAATAGTTAATTAGAAAAATAATATTAATTAATCATTACATAATTATTAATATAAATATTCGTAATTAATTATTTATTTCGATTGTATTTCTATTTATATAATTTTTCATAAATTTTAAATTATTTCTTATTCTTTAAATTTAGTTTTAAACAAAAAAAATTATAAAAAATTTGTTTGTAAATATATATAGTATTAGACAGTTACAGGGAGAAAGAGAATGAAAAGATCAAATAAAGCTTATAGTTGAGATACAAGATCAGGATGTGATTTGATCATGTAAAAAAGTTAATGCATATTGGGTATGATAGAGCCTTCGAGCCTTTATATTATCGACATCTATTTAAAGACAAAAGTTTGTTCTGTATGTGCATTTTCATGTATGTACATATAAAATTAATTAAAAATGTATCAGGTGGTTATAGGTGTGCATAAATTGAGATGTTGCTTATGTATTCTAATATCATAAAATAAAATTATTGCTTAAACAATTGTAAGGGATATGTAACATCTAAAAGGTGAACACAAACAGAAATTTATTCATTTATTTATTTCCATTTATTAAATCTTATGCGTGACTGTACAGTAAGAGTTAATAAAATAGAAAATAAAAAAACATGCTTTATATAATTTAATAGCTAACTTTGATAATTTGAAAACAAGTTAAAAGTTTGTGACAAAATTTATGAATAACTATATTACGAAATATATTTGAACTACATTTGAAAATGCAAAATATAAATTAGAGCTAATAACATAGTTTATTAAAATTTATAGTGATTTTAAAAGTTATATTTCATAAAATTATGTTTGTTTATTTATTTTTTATTTTTATACTATTAGTTCAATTTTTTAATTTTTTAGATAATATTTATATTTATACTTTATTAAATTAAATTTTATAATATTATAAAATGAATTTATATAATTTAAGATTAAACTATTTCTTTAAAAGTATATGATGATAGATAAGCTAAGTGATAGGAAGTTGTCTTAACTGAAAGTTTTTTTTTAAGTGTAATATTTTTGGTACAAATATAATGTTTTTTTAAATATATATTTTTAGATGCGGTACAGACATTAATTAGAATTGACATTAATTTTTATTATTTCGATGTACAAGAACTCACCTTTTATTTTCTCTATATTTTCCAAGCAAATTCCAAGATACTCTATAATTTTTTCAGGATTTCATCTCTTGACCTTTTTTGCATTTCCATTTTTTTATATTTACTAGTATTAGGCCTATATTGCATGTTACTAAAAAATAATAGAAAAATAAGAAAGAAGATAAGATCTTAAACGTTATATATTTGCAAAGGAACATAAGATAGTTTCAACTGAATAATATAGACTATATCATATAACATATATATTTAATATCTATGAATGTGGATTTGTAAAACGTTATTATGAATTATTTGGAAAATTCATTCTTAAAAATATTATTACTTATAATATTAGATTATTGGTCTTACCCTATATTTAAAAAAAGAATAATACAATTAGTTAAAAAATTGTTGTGTACCAAAATTAAAGTCAAATAAAGTTTATTAAAGCCTTCTAAATGTATTATTACAACATTATATCAATTAGTTTTAAGAAGTTTCAAACATATAAGATAAGTTTCTTACGTTGTCTAATAAAATATTAATACATTCTTATAAGTTTGTTTAGATCCATTCATTAACTATATTTTACAAATATATTGAATAATGTAAAACAAATTCCTTTTTGTATTTTTAAATATAAAATTAATATAAACTTGGTTAATATACGTAAAAAATAAAAATAAATAACAAAATGAATGTACGAAAAGTAATTTTTAATTTTAATAAATTTAAATTTACAATTATATGTAACCTTAGAAATATACATATTTAAAAGTATATAAATATACGTTGACATTTATTTTTTTGGATAATTTTCAAATACATGTAAAATATGAAAAAATTTTTTACAGTTCATTTTTTTAAATAATATTTGTAGTTGAAATATATATTAACAATCAAACAATAAATTATAAAATATTTATACACATGCTTTTATCAATATGTATGAAATATTTTCATAAATAATCTAGATTAAGAAAGGAATGACTTGCAATTGACAACAATTATAATTTATTTTGAACAGATATACTATCGATTATATTTCGTTAACTATTTAATAATAGAATTAAATAAAATAAAAAGAAGAATTAAGAAATTAATATATATGAATAAATCGACACATATTGTAATTAAATATTGTGAATTAATTATGTTTAATTTTGAATCAGCAATTATTAAGTAAACAGTTCTTTAAAATTAAATTAAAGTAAAATATTAACTAATTTTGTAATTTTAATTAAATCATATTTACTTACAGGTTTTATTATTCTTTGGTTTAAACAATTGTTTTAGGACAAAAATTGTATGTCTCTTGATAAAATAGAAGTAATAATAGAAATTTATATAGTTTCTAAGGTTAAGTTATTAACTTAAATTTATAAAACATCTTAATAAACTCAATTAATCAATCAACATTAAAGTACGTCGAAAATTCAAGATTCTAAATGCCAATCAATCAAATATCTCCTGAAATGAATATTTGTTTATACAAATACATGTTTGAAAACTTGTATTTATAACCACTTTCCCATTATTATCAATTTTACCTAAACGGATATCTAATTGCATCAAAATGTAAGGTTTTTAATTCAATAGAACTATTTATTTATTCCTGGCTCATGATCTATAATGGAATTTAATAACAAAAATAATAATTAGTATGTTTTGGATAGTAATATTATAATAATAATAAATATAATAAAAAATAAAGAGAAAATTATTTCTGAGATAATTTTAAATGTTAAATATCTATAAAAAAGTTTTCTGTTTTATTTATAACAAGGAAACTTATCTCCTTATTTTAGCTTAACTATAAATAAATAAATAAATAAATAAATATATATATATATATATATATATTCAAAGATAACAAAGGGTTAATTAGTAATATTACATAATTCGACCTAATGGTGGTCTCGAAATAGGTGTTTAAATATCATACAAACTTAGCTTTTAATTAATCGTTATTATTATTTTTTAAAAATTGTAATAATCCCACATAATAATTTCATAATAAACTGTAGTATTATATCTCAGAGATTTCAATTATACATTTAGAAATTCAAATTTGCAGATATAACAAAATTGTATTAAGAATTCCATAGTTATTTATTTCTATAGTTGAATTATCAAATCATGTTGAAATAGTAAAAATTTCTGGACAGTAGAAGTCTATAAAATTGTGTTTTTATATATGTGTTAGTCAGAAATAAATAGTGAACTGTTATTTTTAATTTATTGTAAATCTAATCTTATAAAAAGTTATATATTTAAAGCAAGATAAAAATATTTTAATGTAGTTTTTTATTACATATAAATTTATACATAAATCAGTATATAAAATAAATTTACCTTTTTCTTATTCTAATTTATAGTTAACTAAATGAAGAATACATTGCTTCAACTCCAGTATTCGATAATGTTTTTTTAATAATTATATAAGATAAAAATTGTTATCGTTTAATATGATTTTTTGGATTTCCACAGTGGTAATAATGTATATAAATTTTAGGTGCTCGAAAATTCTTTTCTCATTAGTTTGTAAAGATTAATAATGCGATTATCTAGATATAAATTTGAGAAATAATACTATAATATGTTTTAACGAAACTAATAATATAATTAATATAAATAAAAATTTAATCTTGCTAATATAAAACAATTACTTTTTTATAGTATAGAATTAAAATTTACATTTTATTTACAACTTGAAAAGTTTTGTAGTTCTATATACAAACAGATAAAATAATGAAATATTTTCTAATCACATTATAATTATAGAAATAAGTAATATAAATTATATAAATTATTTATGAAATATAGAGATCTATAGATTTTCTTTATAGCAATATAAAAAAAAACAATTCCTTATAATATATTTAGCCAATTATAGAATTATTTTTCAGACCACAGATAACATAATTAATTGAATTAAAAAGTTTTATAATTTTTTAAAATATTTAAATTTTATAATAATCAATTTTTACTAATTGAACATTTATTTAGGTAACAGTTAAAAATTGAAAAGATTGTATTAAAATTGACCTTGTTTCTAGAAACCCAGTCGGCCTCTGGAATATAGTAGATGAACAATTAATTAGTTCTCTTTGCATGTCTACGCAGAACTTGGTGAAAACTTTCTTAAAATACATAAACATTAAGGAAGAACGGTTGATTGAGTATAACTGACTTACCGGAACAGCCGTCAGAGGAAAGGCCATAGTGGTCGAGATCGCACTGATCACAGCGATTTCCGATGGTTCCAGGACTGCAGTCGCAAAGTCCAGTTATAGAATCGCATTGGCCGTCGGCTGCACCAACACTACAATCACACTCAACGCAGCCCGCTGTAACGTTGCCGTAACCTTGGATGCAAAGTGAACAGTCGCGACTGTCAAACGTTGGGAGACAGTAGCATTGGCCGGTTCGAGGTTCGCAGTTTCTAGATGTACTACCCACAGGATTACAATTGCAGGCTAGGAGATCCATGAAATATTTTATGAAACTTTAATGGATTTAAGGCAACAGATTTATTGAGCAACACATTTATTATAATAATGAATTACATAGATCTATATAATTATATTTTTAAATTTTTGATATTTAAGTAGATTTTGTTTACATTATACAAAGAAATTAATTATTCACCGTAAATGATAAATATTCATAATACATTTTTTATAGAAGTTGCAGGAAAAATTTCAAATTTTCATATACTTCTAATTTCGCGGGAAACTGTATTTTAGATATATACAAAAATTCTTTATAGAATATAATAATTTAGATAGATAAAAAATCTTAAATTTTATATAGGCTAATATTACTTAAAACTAATATTCATTATGTTAATCGCTTTTGCCATTGCAATTAATGATCGCAAAGTGACTTCAATTAATTATTGTACACAAAATTTCAAATATTGTTATAATTTTTAGTTTTAATAAATTTTAATATAAATAAGTTAAATCTGAGTATGTGCATATGATAGCTATTAGATCGAATATTAACGTAAGCATAAAATTTAAATTACCATTCATTTTGATTCATTTAATAATTTTATTTTATAAATTTAGTATATATTTAAAAAATAATTTATTTACAATTATTTTAAATTAAAAATGGTTTGAGTAAAACATTCTAAATTCTATATTTATGTATAGAGAATTTGTTTCTTACTTATTTCGAGTAATTCATAATGCTTTAAAGTTGAAACTTATTGCAAAGGCTTCTGTTCGGAATTGAGCAGTTTTTTAATCCAGATCTAAAATTGGGATCGATTCCAGGAATTCTTCCCACTCCATAGCATCTAAAATGCGACAATACTTCCGCATAGCAACATCTTAATGGTTCTTAATCTTAACGGACATCGCAAACTATGTGGCGAATATTTAAGAGTAGCGCGTCACGCGCCGCGCCATTGTACGTTTAACATCCATTAAGACACTACACATCTGGCTCACGGGTTTTTCTACTATCAATTCAGTTTAGTGCTCATTGTAATTCTACACCTCGTATATTAATTGTTATTATTATTTACTGCATCTCACATCAGTGTCACTTGCATGAAAACAGTCATGCAAACTGTTCATTAATTGCCATCGCCATTGCAGAATTGCGATCAGATAACATAACTCGACAAGCTCGACTTCTGATTGATACAGGCTCGAAACTCTCGTTCGTAGTCCAAAGCCTCGTTCGAAATCTACATATTCCAAAGAAGGACTCCACCACCCACGTGTATGGAATTGGGGGAATTCTCATGACCAAAACTCAAAATGTCGTGTCATTAACACGTTATTCGATACATTCTAACTATTATTACAATACAGGCTCACATCCTCAAGTCATTGACCAAAGTGATACCTTCCTCCGAACCAGCAGTGCATGATTGGCAACATCTGAAAGATATACCTTGAGCAGACCACCAGTATTTTGTACCTCGAGCAGTAGACATTATTCTGGGAGCTGATATGTATAGAAAAATAATCAAGCCTCAAGTCATCGCCGATTCTCCGCATTTACCGATGACTCAATTGTCCATTTTTGGATGGCTTGTGTTGGGACCAGTAACGTCTAATCAATATTCAATGGTCACAGCATTTCATGTATCCTGACATGATGATGAGGAAACACTACATGAACTATTCACAAAATTTTGGGTCTTAGAGGAAATACACTCAAACGAAAATCCTAAGCTCACGCCAGAAGAGCAGGAGTGTTGGGAACATTACAAGAACAATTACTCACGCACATCGAGTTGAAGATACATAGTACTCATTCCGTTTATTTCCCCCGCTATTGGTCTCGGAGACACATACGAAACCGCGCGTCCTATTTTACAGAGCCTGGTGAGAAAATTCTAATAGGCAGACAATTATCAACAACAATACCAACAATTCATGATGGAATATAAAAATCTTGACCATATGAGACAAGCACCTCAAATTCCCAGTCATCAAGTTCAATACTATCTGCCACACCACTGATTGGATTGACGCAATCCATCTTGGGACTGATTCCCCAGTGACATTAGCATGGATAAGTTTCCATCCGTCAAGATGGAAGGAATTTGTAAGTAACGGGGTTTCCTCTATTCAGAAGCTCACTCCCAACGCTCAGTGGAAATACGTCACTGGAACTTCAAATCCAGCTGATTGCGCATCGCGAGGCATTTCTACCTTCCAGTTGCAAGAACATTCCCTTTGGTGAACTGGACCACCGTGGATGACAACACCGAAATACTGGCCTTGTTAACCAACCTTGAATGAAAATCAATGCCAATAGGATGCGCGATCGTTCACAATACTAGTCATCACCTCTTTCAAACCACAATACAAGTGGGATCTAATTCATAAATATTCAAATCTACAGAAACTCCTACGAATCACAGCACTCTGCATCTTATGCATAACGCGACTACGGATAGCTCAAAAGACCAAACGACCACAGATAGAAGAGAAAAGCCAAGAATTTATTGGGTAACGGTGACCCAGGAGGCATACTTTCAGCAAGAACTGAAGACATTGCTGGGCAGAAATCAACTGCCAAAAACAAACGCATTCAGTCTACTAACAGCATATGTCGATACTCAAGAAGTGATTAGAGTCAGTGGAGGACTTAACAAGGCCCAAATCAAGCAAGATAACTAGCACCCTGCCATTCTTCCCCGACACTCGACCTTTACAACGCTCATCATTGATTATGCCCACCAACGAACTCTATATGGAGGCACTCAAATCACATTGGCATACATCCGCCAATAGTATTGGATCATAGGCGGAAGGTACCCGATAAAATCTTACATCCTGCGCTGCGGTGTGTGTGCACGACAAAGGTCCATTCACGCGAAACAACTAATGGGACAACTACCAATCACAATAGTGACACCAGCCAGACCATTCACTCACACTGGCGTGCACTATTCCGGCCCTATGTCGTTGAAAACAAAAAGGGGTCGAGGTGCGAAAATATATAAGGCCTGGATCTGCACTTTCGTTAGTTTTGCCACTTCAGCGGTTCACATAGAATTTGTTTCCGATTACACAACTGGCGGCTTCATTTCCGCATACAGAAGATTCGTTACTCGCCAAGGGATTCCAAGCACAATCTGATCGCGGTACTACCTTCATAGATGCAGATGCTGCTCTAAAAAGGCAATTTATTCAAAGCACCCACGAACAGCAACAAATTGAAGGTATTATGGTGCAAGACAACACTAACTGGGAATTCAATCCACCCTCAACACCCCATATAGGGGTAAGTGGGAAGCGGTAGTAAAATCAGTGAAACATCACCTCAGACGCACCATTGGAGACACCTTGCCTACCTTTGAGAAGTTCACTACTCTGCTTGCTCAAATCGAAGCCATCCTGAACTCCAGATCCTTATAACCACTCAGCGACGATCCAGAAGATTTAACCGCACTCACTCCTGGCCATTTCCTTACAGGAGGTCCGCTGACGGCTCTTCCTGAACCATCGCTCCAAGAAATACCCATGCCTAGACTATCTCGATAGCAATACATCCAACAATTTTGGTCACTCTGGTCATCTTTCTACCTACAAAAACAATCAATATCGAAATGGCATCACCCACGGAATGATATCACTGAAAGAGCAGCGCGCCACGCCCCGCGCCACTGTACGTTTAACATCCATTAAGACACTACACATCTGGCTCACGGATTTTTCTACTATCAATTCAGTTTAGTGCTCATTGTAATTCTAGACCTCGTACATTAATTGTTATTATTATTTATTGCATCTCACATCAGTGTCACTTGCACCAGCACGAACTTCAATTGAAATCTCCGACAATCAAGAACACAAGAAAGAACTCGCACTATAATAGAATAATTCTCTATCTCAATAGAAGCAACCAACAACGCTACAATATTATAATTCATAAGTAGAATAAATAATAATTGAACTCAAATATACTACATTATACTTTTCAGCCTTTCCATTTGTGCCTTCTTTCTTCTTAATCGCTATGGCGAGAGATTAATCCACTGAACTATTGAAATGGCAGTTCGAGCCATAAAATAAAACATTCATTTTTGAACAGCTTCTATTCATTAAAGTTTTTATTATTTTTCATTATGTGTTTATAACATACATTTCATTAAAGTATAGAACAAAAGTATAAAAACATAGTGACTAAAAGTTATAATTTAAGTAAATTTACTTAGTTCATTATTAAAAATATTAAATAAAAACTCATTCAAATAATTTTATTTGAATTAAATATTAAAAATTTTAGAATTATTGAAAACGATATTTATAAAAGATATTTATCTCTTAATGATTATTCATACAACTACAACAATAATAAAAATAATATTTATAAACTTTTATTCATTAATTTTATTTTAATTATTGATGATAATCTTTGAAGGTGATTGAATTTATAAGATTAAATTATATAGTATTTTTCTGTAATATATATTATACTGCTAGAAAATGCGATTTATGGTTTAATATATTTTTATTTTTTAATGAAGTGAAAAATATATGTATTATAAATTTCCTATATGCTTTTATATTATACATTACTTTGAGTAACTATCAAATATAGTAATAGCTTGTTATGTAACATTTCTATTGTACACTATTAATGTTAATCAAAATAAATACAAACTTGATAGTTATTTTATTATATGAAGAATTTATAAGTAATTATAAAAGTAAAATATACATTAATATTATATTTTATTTGACAGGTGAAAGTTAATGCCATAATTGTAATACTTTACTATTATTGTTGTATCGATAGATTTTATGAAACCATTATAGCTATATGTCGCTTTATAACTACATATTGCTCGAATATTAAATAAATTTTCATAAAAAATATATCCTCGACACTTATTTAGTATTACAATTATAAAATATAATTTATGGAAACATTTAAATATAAATACTTACGCATGCAATTTAGCTCTGCCGGATTACCAAAGTAAGCTTCTTTGCATTTTTCACACTTCCAACCTTCTGTATTCCCTCGACATTCTAGACATTGACCAGTTTCTTGATTACAGGGTCCTCCATAACATAGACAAGGCTCACATGTTTTTCCCGGAATAAGGGGATTTCCAAAAAAACCCACATCGCACCTACAAATAATATAGAAATTCATTATAAATAATTTTCAATTATTAATTTTAGGAAATAATTAATCAATGATACTAATTTTATATACATTTCACAATGATCGCCAGTATATCCCGAAGGACATTGTGTGCATACATAATTGTTTTGCAAATTATAAGAATTATCAATCTGACAATTCGGGCTAAAGTTATTTGAAGAAATATCCAATGGACAAGCGCACTTTAAACAATCACCAGGCGTTCCTTTAGTGGCGTCACCATAGTAACCGGCAATACAACGATCGCATTTTGGTCCAATGGTGTAGTGCTCACATATCTAAAATTCGTAAACACATTTCTAATGTAAATATTTATAGTATATCTCTCATTAATTTACATAATATTATAAATTGTAATTAGATAAAGATTAAAGTATCATTGTTTGGAATGTTATTAGGATAAATTGCAAACTGCAAACTATTCTTAATGTTATTATATTGGTTATTCTATAGAATATATGGATATTAGATAGAAATACATTTTTCCAAAATTTATGATAAAAACAAGCTAAAGATAAGGCATTTCTTGCGATATATGTTAACTATTGTAATATAAGACGAAGACGTAATATTATTCAATATATTATTAATTCATTTATAATATTTAAATAGGCATGATTTCTATATATTATTTTATATTGGTAATTACAATTTTATAATATGTAAAACTTTAATAAATTAAATTGAAATATAAAAAGTATTATTTGTTCATAATGTATATTATTTTTTTTTAATGTAATAACAAAGAAATTTTAAAAAGATAAAATGGACTTACACCGCATTCGCCCATTATAAGATCACAAGAGCCGGCATGATTGTTACAATCACATTTTATGCATTTATGATGATTCTGATGGTCCGAGGAGTTTATTTGAACTTTGACATATCCCCAGTCACATGATTCACAAGAGAGACCTATATATCCAATTGGGCATGAACAATTCTCAACAACGCTCCTTTTACCATTCTCCATTGATATTTCACCAATTGGTAAAACAGCCGTTTTTAAACTATAAGAAACAATAATTTATCAATATTGTTATTTCTTAACATATTTTGATGAAAATAATACGTACCTCCCCTCAATTTGTTCTGTATGGTATTGGGCCCTAATGAGTACATATTTGATATCAGCAATGATCTCTAACATTTGCTGACGTGTAACAGGATCACCTCTATAATCTGTCCTGCGGAATCTTGTTAAATTATCGATAGTTTGAGACCTCACTAGAACGTGAAACCAACCTTGTTCCTGAATCGGCACGGAGATCTCAGCCTCC